ATCTATATGCATATATGCATAACCCAAGGACACAGACAATGGTGTGGTGAGGGACTGGGGTGGGGAGGAGGGTCAATGGGGAAAAAAGGGGACATCTGTAATATTTTGAACAATTAAAAAAATAAAATAAAATAAAGGAGTGTCTTGGAGTAAAAATGGACCTAGGAAGTTATTAAATTCAATCCCACCACATTATCAGCCAGGATTTACTGTCCCTGCACTGACCTCTGTCTGCATCCCTGTGTCTCTGCACCTAGGACGACCCCATAAAAAGGGGCTGTGGCTCCAACACTCAAGGGCATCAACTTGCTGTGTTTGTTGTACTGTCTTGTCGTTTCTATAGTTTAGGGTCTTCTTTTTTCTTTATTTGGTACCGTGGTGTCCCCATCTCTCCCTCTCACCTCATTTACGGCAATGGCCTGACAATTCTTGATTCCCTAAATTTTGTCTAAAACAGGTGTAATCTGGCACAACGTGATGCCTGCCCAAGAGACAGCATCTGACGGGTTTTTGTTCTTTTCTGGTATTCTCTTCTTGGTTCTGTGTTTCAGAGTTAAATGGCCTGCTAACTGATCTATGAATAAGGTTGTTATATTAATAATAGAAATTAAAATTTTTGGTTGTTAATGATTCCATTAAACAATCACACAAAGTTCATGATGATAAGTGGTAAAACTTAAATACACATGAAGACATTTCCTCAAATAGAACACGTCCTAGACTAATCCATGATCTTTGTGACAAATTTGGTCTACCTCTAGTGTTTCCTATCTTAGCAAGGGGCTATACTTTCTTTCTAGTTGCACCTATAGACTCTGCAGCCATGTGTGCTCCTCCCACTCAGTCCCCCTACACCACACCATGTGAAAAGTCCAGTCAGTTTTAATCCTTACATTCCTTACAAGGTGCACTATAACAAGAACAAATTTTCAGAAACATATTTTCAATTGTTAATAATATAAAACCTAACAGATAGTCACTATGTGCTTATTATATGCCAGTTACTGTGCTAAGAGCCTTTCAAGCATTATCTCATTTAACCCTCACAATGATCCTGTGCTATATTGTAATATTATTATACTAATAGGTGCTATTATTATTTCCATTTTACTTAGTAGAAGTCTGAGGCCTAGAAAGGTAATGTGATTTGACAAAGGGCACAAGGCTGGCAAGTGAGAGATTTCACATACCAGGTCAACTTGACTCTAGAATCTAAGCCCGTACATACAAAATTGCCTCTCTGATGAAACTGGATTGATTAAATGTAAATACAAGTCACCAGAACTTACAAATGATGTCTAAAAGGGCAGCGTCACTGACACTCGCATGCTTCTCCTGAAAGAGAGGTAAAATATTCAGTATGCATGGCTGTAGGTTTGATTCTACCCCATTTACAGCATATTTTAGAATTGCTTGGAACAGAGTAAGAGTACCTTCTCAATATCTTACTGACAACCTGTCTCTGATCTATGCTCTCCCACTGAGGAATAAATATGTCTTCTGATTAATGTTTAGTATAGGTACTCACAATTGTTCTCCCACAATCTAGTCCTCATTTATCACTTTCAATTTTTTGTTTTGTCCTTCTGGACTTCCTCTATAACAGGGTTTCTTAACTAGGCACTACTAACATTTTGAGTTAGATAATCCCATGTTTGGAGAGTTCTCGTAGGATGTTAAGGAGCATTCCTGGCCTCTATCCACTGGAAGCCAGTAGCACCCCACTCCCACAGTTTTGACAACCAAAAATGTCTCCAGACAGTGTGTCCTCCAGAAGACAAAATCATCCCAGCTGAGAACCACTGTTCTATACATACACATTTATATGCATGCATAGCACATGGTTTCTTTCAGTGTGTACACAAAGATCCAGTTTATTCTTCTTTTTCTTTTTTTAATATATCTGTATTGATTTCAGAGAGAGGAAGGGAGTGGGAGAGAGAGAGAGAAACATCAATAACGACAGTCACTAATGGTNATTGATTTCAGAGAGAGGAAGGGAGTGGGAGAGAGAGATAGAAACATCAATAACGACAGTCACTAATGGGCTGCCGCCTGCACGCCCCCTACTGGGATTGAGCCCAAAGCTCATGCATGTGGGAATAGAACCATGATCTCCTGGATCATAGATAGATGCTCAACTGCTGAGCCACAACAGCCAGGCTCTAGGTTATTCTTTTTAATGGCTGAAGAATATTTTATGTGGATGTATCATTATTTAGCTGATCTTCTATGTATAGTTGTCTGCAATTTTTTTTTAAACAATACTAGTGAACATTTTTATTTATATATCAGTATTTACATGTTTATAACTATATATATGTAAATGTTTAATAATTATATTTACATATCTCTCTTTATTTTTTATGCTCTTTCCACATAAATTTCCAGAAGTAGAATTATTGGGCCATAAAGTATATTTATTTAAAAGTGAATAAAGGGCCCTAGCTGGTTTTGCTCAGTGGTGAGAGCGTTGGCCTGCGGACTGAAGGGTCTTGGGTTAGATTCCAGCCAAGGGCACATACCTTGGTTGTAGGCTCAATTCCCAGCCTGCTGAGGTGCGTGCGGGAGGCAACCAATTGATGTGTCTCTCTCACATCGGTGTCTCTCTCGCTCTCTCCCCCTTCCACTCTCTCTGAAAAGCAATGAAAAAAATATCCTTCAGTGAGGATTAAAACAAGTAATTATAATAGGTTAAAAAAATTTAAAAAGATAAAAAAAAGTGACTTAAGGGCCCTGGCTGATGTGGCTCACTTGGTCAGGTGTCATCCTGTGCACTAAAAGGTATGGGTTGGATTCCCAGTTGGGGCACATGCCTGAGTTTTGGGGCTTCCAGTAGGGGGCGTATAGGAGACAGCCGCCAATCAATGTCATGCTCTCATATCAATGATCCTCTCTCTCTCTTTCCCCCTCTCCCTCTCCCTTCTTCTCTCTCTAAAAATCAAAATCAATAAACTGTTCTTTAAAAAAAAGTGAACAAGGGAATGGGAGTTCTTTGTACTAGCAACTTTCCTGAAAGTCTGAAATCATTTTAAAACAAAAAGCAAACAATAAACACATGTGAAAGAGTGTCTCTTTCTGCACAACTTGACCAATACATCTGAGTATTATCTTTTCATCTTTGACAATCTGACAGGTAAAAAAAGAATACTGCTCATTACTTTAACTTGTATTGGTTATCTTTTCTTTTTTCTCCCCCATGGTATTCACTTTTTTTCTTAGTGATTTGTAAGCAGTTTTGTTAAGCTGAAAAACCAATTAAAAATTAGTGTCTTCTCCATTATAGTAGTACATAGCCTCATCACTTCATAGCTTAGCAGCTGCCTTAAGTCTCTTTTGGACTAAGGAAAGAAAGAAAAAACCAAAGTGGGTAGCATGATGTTCAGGGTTAATCTTTTTTAAAAAAATATGTATCTTTATTGATTTCAGAGAGAGGAAGGGGGGGAGAGAGAGATAGAAACATCAATGATGAGTCATTGATTGGCCGCCTCCTGCACCACCCCTACCAGGGACTGAGCCCGCAACCCGGGCAGGTGCCCTGACCGCGAATCGAACCTCGATCTCTTGGATCATAGGCTGATGCTCAACCGCTGAGCCACACCAGCTGGGCCAGGGTTAATCATTTTGAACATTATTACCTCACAAAGCAGAACCAAGTCATGAACAACAGATTCCTTTCTCTTCCGGAAGTTTATAGTCTGCAGTTGATCTTCAGATAAAAAATCCCAGGCTTTTAGGATTGTCATCATTTCATTCACTGGGATTTTCAAGATGGTCCTCTTGATAAACTCAGCAACAACTTCATCCATTTCTTTGGCACTTTAATAAAACAAAAACAGCACAACAAAATATTACCAAGCACAGCTCTAGCTGGTGTGGCTAAGTGGTTAGGGTGTTGGCCCAAGGATGGAGAGGTTGTGGGTTTGAGTCCGGCTCAAGGGCACATACTTAGATTGCAGTTGACTCCCTGTCCCCCTTGGCGCTCGTGCAGGAAGCAACTGGTTGATGTGTGTCTCTCTCACATCAATGTTTCTCTCTCTCTTCCCCTCCCTCCCTTTCACTCTCAGTAAATCAGTGGAAAAATATCCTCAGGTGAGGAATAAAAAATCAAAAAAAAAAAATCAACCAAGCACAGACATTTAACTTAACAGTGAATTTTTCCCAGCATCATATTTTTAGCTGGGATTTTGATTTGTAGGTCAAACACCCAAATGGGGAATACTAATGGGGGCAATGAGAAGGCAGAGGAAAGCTCAAGAATTCTGCCTTGAACATGTAAATTTTAAGGTTAATTGTAACCTTAAAGTGGAGAAACTGAATAAACAGCTGGATTTATGAGCTTACAAGACACAGTAAAAGCTGGAGGTAGAGAGGATTGCAGTTTCTCCTTTAATGCACTGCCAATTAACATAAAACTATTACTTCACTTTTCCTGCCCCATGCCTGAAGGCGAGATGCTTCAACTGCCCAAAAGGTCTTGAGCCCCAAATCTGGTGTAGTTCCCTCAGCAACAGACAGGGTAATGATCTTCCAGACATAACTCAGTGGCTCTCTTAGAGCTGTGGCATAGGGAAGGGGATTCTGAGCCCTATTATTACTTTCTTCAGAGCAGAAACTGTAGGCCAAGGGTGACAGCTGATCTCAACTCTGTTACCTCATTTGGGGAACACTAATGGGTATCTCTCTCTCAAAATACAGAACATAAAAAGGCAAGCAAGCATGATTTCTAAACAAAGATATCCTCAGACTTTAGATTCCTTTAACAGCCTATCTTCTAGGAAAGAGTGTACAGACCTTGGTGCTTGTGTTTAAGACAAGAGGCAAAGTCAGTCAGTCAGTCTCATCTGCTGCCACTATAACTACAGGATTTCCAAAGACAAACAGAGGAGTATCCAAGAATCCTGTGATTTATTTCTACCATTTAAGTGTTTGTTGAACACTGCATATAATTTATTACCACTGACTACTTCCAAAAGGGTATGGATGTTGACAGTATTTTAAAAAGATACTGAAAACAACAGTTAAAATAAAAATAAACAGGAACTATTACGAGTTATTTAGAAAGAGAAAAATAACTGAGTTAAGAACATGAGAAAAGAATCAGTCTCATGAAAATTCGGCCTGATTTGTTTCCTTGTCCAGATACAGAAGCAAACTGCCTTAACATCAAGACTAAAATCCTGACACCATGGTCTGCGAGGCCCTGCATTGTTTGATATCTTGCCTCGGTCCCCATCATCTACCACTATCTCCTTGGCTTTCTGAGCTCCAGCTACATTGGCCTTCTAGTTCCTCTAATACAAAATGATTCATCTAGCAAAGTCTATTGTATCTGCAATGACCCCTGCCTAGAAGATTCTTCCTGCACATACTCACATGGGCAACTCTTGTATTTCAGGTCTCAGTTTAGACGTTTCTCAGGGAGGCTTATTCCGACCATCCAATCTAGAGTTATTTACCCACCTTCCACTGCTTGTCTTTACAGAACTATCTCAAATTATCTTGCTTATTGATTACTGTATTGCTTAACAATATTTTATTGAGCTCCACGAGGGTAGAAACTGTGTGTTCATCTTATTCATGGTTATATCTCTAGATGACAAATACTTGTGGAATGAAGTATTATTTTCCCTAAGCCGTGTGCCTGGGAAGGATTAGGGTCCAACTAAGTCAGTGAAACATCAAAAACAATGGAGGAGGGGGAGGGCTTTGCTAAAATGCAGATTCCTACGCCCTATCTATTTAAACTGGGGATGTGGGGTCACCAAGTAGGGCTTAAGATTCTGCATTTTAGAGGGCCTCAGAAGATTCTAAATTTCGGGTAAAGTCTGTGGAATGCCATTCTAAAGAATTTTAGTAGAAACAGCGCACTCAATCTCACCAACAAAGCTGGAAAATTCTTGAGTAAACTCTGATTCCCTGTGAGGATCTAATTTTATTTCCTAGCATTTTAGCACCTCAGTGCCTGGGTTACAGAAGGTGCTCAAGATATATTTGTTGAATGAACGCGTGACAAAAAGAACAGTCCATTCAAGTAACTTTCCTGTAGAGCTACACCGTTGAAGAGCTGCAACAAGGAGCATAAGAAGTAACGCGAGAGGCTGCATGAATGAAAAAAGACAGAAGCTAAGTTTAACTGAAAAACCAAAACGCCCAACTCCCGGTAAAGCGGCAACGCAAGGCTGGGAGAGAGGAGTAGCCCGTCACGTGACAATTCGGGGGCGGCTCTGCGCAGACGCCAGCTCCTGCAGGCCCCGCCCCAACGCGGGCGGATGTGAGGTCACGACCAGGAGTCACTGCCCTCTTCTAAGCCTCAACCTAGTCACTGCCCCGCCGCCCCTGGCCGAGACCCAGCGTCAATCCCGAACCGGTGGGACGTATGGCAGTCACGAAAAAGTCGCCCCAGAGCCTTGGGATGCGGGTTCCTCAAGGCTCCCGCCGCCCTCCGGGTCCCGATTCCACGCCCTTAGGGGCTCCCTTACCTTCCACATCGCCAGCGCCTCACTCCTCAGCCGTGGTTCCCGCCCGCTGCGCCTTCAAAGCCACCAATTGCAGTTCCCACCGCCCTTGAGCCCCGCCCACGGGGGGGGGGCCCAAACTTTGGACTGTACCTCTAGCGCAGGGGGGGCCGAGTGGGAGGAACGACCGAAGCGAAACTCGGCGAGCCCCCACGTCGCTCTTCTCAGCAGAAAATATTGTCTAAATGCAGTTAACCTCAGCCGCGACATCTGACTTGTTGGTTCAGCTTGCTTTTTGCAGGGCCTCTGTGGACTCGCTTCCCCTCCAGCTCCCGAAAAATGGGCCCGTCCTGGACGGGTGGCGCATGCGCCTCAGAGGCCGCGAGCGGCGGGGCCCGGCGGAGCGGGTCAGCTCTGGAGAGCGTAGGAGCGTTCCCGCCCGGGAGCTGGCCCGGCTCTGCGCCCAGGCGGGCCGGCCTTGGCGTGCGGCATCTTCAACCGTCCTCGTGTGGCAACGAGTCGGGTGAGTCTTGGGGGTCCGGGGGGCTCAGAGGAGCGCTCTCTCTCCGACCGGGGAGGCCGCGGGACACCCACCTGTGCCCTCCTGTCCTCTGCTCGCGTGCGCCCCTCCGTGCCGCGTCCTGTCGGGACTCTCCGTCGTCCTTGGAGGTTGGGACCTGGAGCGTTCGGTCCCCGGGGCGGCCGTGGCCTCCGCGCCGAGGGTTTGGTCAGGGTGGCTACAGGTGCGTCCTGAGCTGACCGCCCTCAGGCTTTTGCCGAGGACCTGCTAGTAGAGGGCAGGCCTTGGCCTGGATCCTTCACTCCCCTGCGGTCTGTCCCGCCACGCTCGAGCCTTGTGACTGAGGGCGTAAACCCATCGCGCCGACCGTGAGGAGGGGAGCCCCGAGCACGGCGTTCGCGTGGTGAGCGCTCAGTGCATCGTATGCTCGTCGTTGCTGGTTGTGTAGCTTAGAATTTGCATGTAGGAGAGCAGAGGCTGTCCGGGCGCGGCTCAGCTGCAGCCAAAGTTGCCACCAATCCGTCTCGCGATGGGAGAGGCCCCTAAGATCGCCACCAGTCCACTTTTCCAGGAATGTAAACGTTCATGTCCCTTTTATTCGGTGACCGTGCCTGTGGCTGCGCAATAGGTGCTTGAAGTAAATCCGAGTTCTGGCAACCTTCATTAAAAAATTTAAATGCATAAAAGAAGTTTGCGCTGGCAAAGGAATTTTGTTGTGACACCCTTTGTATCCCCTTTCCTATACAATACAGGCTTCTGTACTTGTTTAGTTGATTTAAAATGAGCCTGGTTTCCATCCCCCTCCTTTTTTTTAAAAAAAAACACCTGTTGGGGTCTGAACCAGTTTTCACGTCTATGATAATCCTAAACTCAACATTCAGCAAACATTTATTGAGCATTTACTATGTGCAGTTATAAGAATATTCCCTCGGTAGCCTGTGCATTCTTTGGAGGTGTATGGACTAATTTTTTCTCCCCTGAAATTCGCGTGATTTGGCAGGGTGCTCAGTACCGAGTAAGTGCTGCTAAGTGTTCAGGGAAAGCTACAGCTTGGCCCATTTCTTAAGAAGCCATGTGGTGGAAGTTAGAGTTGTACAGCCCTCCCGGAGGCCCAGCGGTTGCTCTCAGTAGCAGTGGGGCGTGGTCTGTACCAGTCACTTAATAGCATGTGTTTAGATTTTGGTCACTTTGCAGCTGTGATAAGTAGAAGTGGGTAGGGTAGGTAGTTCCCTGTTACCTGCTGCCTGCTACCTCTGCTGAATATGATGCATAGTTTAAGATAGTTGGAGAAAAACCAGTTTAACTCATCCCAATGCTTTCTGAAATGTAGGCTTTAAAAATGTGTTTTAGAAAGCTTTAAATATTAGTTTACAGGTTTTTCTGGAGAACAGATTTTTTCAGAGACTTTTCTGGTCTTGTTTTCTGCTTGTTTTAAAATGACATTAGAAATTGCGACTGTAGTGAAAATTTCTTTCTGGCACAGCCACACAATAGAAGAATCTTTCCAAAGAAAACAAAAGTGACATTAAAATATGGGTTTCCCCCTTGTAATCATAGATCTGGTAAAATGTGTTATTGGAAGGCTTACTCTCTTTTCTTTATGAGTTAATGTATTGCTTACTCTTGGTTAATTTTCTGACATTGTGCCACCTGGTGGTTGAAATCTTCTATCATAGAATACTCATTAGAAATATTTTACCTTTAAGTCTTTGTAGGATAAGGTAAAGGAGTGAATACAATATGACTAATTTTTATATTTGTTAGTAAGAGTACCCTACTGCTTCTACCCTCCCAGCTTACCCTCAAGTAAAATTTTAAATTTCTTGTTATGGACCTATTAGCCAGTTATCAAAACATCAAATTGTCACAGCTGAATATTTATTTATTTATTTATTTATTTATTTATTTATTTATTTATTTATTAATGAACATTTATTTTTAAGCTGACTGTTTTGGTATCAATGGGTGCCTACTTGTGGGTGGAGTTGGCATGGGGAGGGAAATGTTGTAATTGTGACAAGTTAACCCTTCTGATGTTTTCTAAATGCCAGTGGGACTGAAATTTTGTTTTTTAACTGATTAATAATGAGATTTATCCCTCTCTTTCTCATTGCAAACACCCTTGCATGAAGGCTTATCACAAATGAATATTCCCTCTTTGTTTCAGTGGTGCAGCTGATGTTCATAAGTACCTTGGCAGTACCCTTTAGAAATTGTTTTCTGTATTCCTAGTAGTAACAGGTGTTTATCATTTGAATATGAATTTTGGTTTTGGAAATGTCTTAGTCATTTAATTGCGAGCTTAGATTTGAGAAGAAACTTAAGAATACAATGCCAAAATATACTCTGTGACATCCCTAATTGTCTCTTTTGCGCACTTTTGGACAGATAACCAAGAGCTTCACATAGCATCCTGTTTCATTGTTGGACAGTTCCATGAAGATGATATCTGCCTCTGTAACTTCCACCCTTTGGTTTCTAATCCTGTTCTCAGAAACACCTCAGAGTAAATTCAGTTCAGCCTTTTCTGTTATGTGACAGAGCATTTCAGACATACAAATAACATTTTACATATGTCACATGCACTGTTCACTGTTTCAGAGATTCTCACATGTGTTATTTTAAACCTTATGACAAACATGGAGATATATAGGTTAAGAGTTAATTCTCTTTTAAGAAAGAAAGAAGAGACTTAGGTCTCAGATCAAGTAAACAAAGTGATATAACTTACGAATAGCTGAGTCTACAATTTTTGCCTTCAAACCACCCTCTCCCTTCAAATTCATTATTTGTCCAACTTAACCAAGTTTTTCCTTTTATCTGTCTCCTCTGTTGGGGCTCCCCTAAGTTGGCAAATATTACCAATTTCATTAATAGTTTCCTGTTTAAATCTAGCATCAGAGTGGTCACTATCCTGAGCACTCTCCCCAGGAATATTCAAATTGTAAATATTCTGGACATGGCTGATCAGGATTAGTATAGTACTGCTTTTTTTCTTGATGTAGACAGACCCTCTATTTCTAATAATACAGGATAATATTACATTAACATCTTTGGAAACTAGGCCTAGAATTAGTGCCTGTTGAACTTGTAGCTAACTGGAAGCCTTTTGGGAAATTTCTATCTGAATTTATTTCATTCACAAACTACTGGGAAGGTATGTCTTTCCTTTTTGAACATGGGAAAAAAATTGTTGTGAGAGATTACCTTGGTAGTAACTCTGCCACTTACTGTGTGACTGGGACTTAATTTTGCCATGAAAATGTGGGTAATGTGTATTTTGACCTACAAAAAGACAATTTCTTATGATTCAACTGAAAGGTACTTACTTCCTATAGTACTTGGAAAGGTACTTGCTTCCTATAGTTATTGGGAGGATTATTAGACTTGTGCCTAGCACATAATGTTTAACAAATTATTTTGCACACTAATAATGTAGATATGTTCTTATGGCCTTGAAGAAATTTCAAATAAGAATTGGAACATATATTTAGATTTTCTTTTTCTTTTTTTTGTCAATCCTCACTGGAGGATATTTTTTTCATTGATTTTTTTTTTTTTAGAGAGAGTGAAAGGGAGGGAGGGGAGAGAGAGAGAGAGAGGGAGATGTGAGAGAGATACATTGACTGGCTCCCTCCCACATGTACCCAGACCTGGCCGGGATCGAACCTGCAACCCAGGTAGGTGCCCTTGACTGGGAATCAAACCCGCAACACCTTGGTGCTTGGTCCAACACTATATCCACCGAGCCACACCAGCCAGGGCTATTTAGCTTTTCTTTAGTTCATAAAAATTACTTTGAGTTTATAATAGTGTTAGTAGAATCGGCTTAAAATTTTTTAATTATTGATTTTAGAGAGAAAGAGAGAGGGAGGGGGAAAGGAAGAAGGAGAGTGAGAGAAACATTGATGTGAGAATAAAACATCAATTGGTGGGATCAAACCCGCAACCTTTCTGTGTATGGGACTACTCTCCAACCAACTGTCCCACACTGGCCAGGGCTAGAATAGGCTTCTTAAGATGACTAGTGGAAGGTAGCAACACTCATTTAAGTGTGTTCTAAGAACAGTGCTATTGTTTTAGAGTTATATATATCATGATATACATTTATGTTTATATACAACATACGTGTATGTTTTTTATCTCTGCAGCCAAGTGTCTTCTCAGGTGTTTACTTTGCCAATTAAAGAAGTCATTTCAGTAAATCATCAGCTTGTTTCTGAACTGCAAAAGCACAAATTTGAGGGTTGGTTGATAGAAATAAGCAAAAATACTTTGTCAAATATATTTACAAAATAAAATGTTAAAGACATTTGCTAGGTGACTGAACCAGTGTACATCTTCCTTCAGAAAAAATAAGTGAGGAAGAAACCAGATAACTGATACTATACATAAATATACGTGCATAATTGATACTTAAATTGCTGTACTGTATGAGACCTCATTTTTCTGAGGCAAAAAATTTATATTATTAAAAAGACTTTAATCAGTGACAGGCAAGAAAACTTGAACTAGGCTGCATTTCCAGTTTCCATTTCAAATGCTCAGTTGGGTGAAAGCCTGATTTTCAGTCTTCACCTGCGGTATAGCGTGTGTGTGTGTGTGAGTTACTCAGTGAAATAATGATGTTATTTTTTTAAGTTGAAATCTGAAATAGGTATGTTGTGATTATTTGGAGTTGTCGACATTTTTAAGGATTTTATTTGTTGGGAGCAGAAGGTGGATGGGCAGTATGAATTTCTCGGAACTTCTTTTTAACAGCTTTAAAGTATAATTTGCATATTATAAAATTTACCCATTATAAGTGAATTTAGTGTTTTTAGTAAACGTATACAATTGCGCAACCCTTACTCCAATCCTATTTTAGAACATTTTCATCACCCAAAAAGATTCCTTGACGTCCATTAGCAAATTAATTTTCCACTCTCACCTTCGGGCCTAGGCAACTAATGATCAGCTTTTTGTCTACAGATTTGCCTTTTCTAGACATTGCATATAAATGGAATCATACAATGTAGTGTTTTGAAGCTGGCTTCTTTTAGCTTAGTGCTTTTGAGGTTCATTCATGTTGACACATCTGTTAATTTCTTTTAATTGAGAAATAGTATTCCTTGTGTAAATATACTACATTTGTTTATCCACTTACTTGGTTATTGGACATTTGGATTATTTCCAGTCTTGGCTGTTATGAATAATGCTATGAATATTCACATACATATCTTTGGATATATAGGGTGGGGCAAAAGTAGGTTTACAGTTGTGAGTACATGAAACAATTTATTCTTGTATTAATTATTCTTGTATTATTTCCATACAAACAACTGTAAACCTACTTTTGCTCCACCCTGTATGTTTTCATTTCTCATGAGTAGATTCTTAGGAGTGCAGTTTCCAGTCATATGGTAAGTTTGCATTTAACTTCTTAAGAAACTGCCAGTTGTCTTCCAGATTGCCTGTACTGCTTTACATTCCCCATAGCAATACATGAGGCCCATTTTCCCCATATTCTAACCAATGCTTGGTATTGTCTGACTTTTTGGTTGAAGATATGCTGGTGGATGTGTAGTAGTATCTTATTGTGGTTTTAATTTGCGTTTCCCTAATGACTAATGGTGTTCAGCATCTTTCATGTGCTTAAGCAGTTCTGTATCCTCTTTAGTGAAATATTTACTCAAATCGTTTGTCCATTTTTGGGGTCCGTTTTAAACATTGGGTTGTTTGTAAGCATTCTTTATATTATATTATTCTAGATATATTTGTAATATTTGTAAATATTTTCTCCTACTCTGTGGCTTGTAGTAGATTTTATTTTTTGAGCAGTTTTAGGTTTGCAGCCAGATTGAGCAAAAAGTAGAGAGATCCCGTATACCCTCTGCCCCCACACACTCACAACTTCCCACACTATCAACATCCCCCACCAGAGTGGTATAGTTGATGAACCTACATTGACATGTCACCAAAGTGTGGGTGGCCTGTAAAGTTTTTAATTTTTACGAATTTTTATCATTTTTTTTCTTTTATGGATTGTGCCTTTTATATATCTAAGAACTCTTTGCCCAATTTAAGGTCATAATTTTCTCCAATGTTTTCTTTTTTAGAGCTTTTAAAAGATTAAAGCAATTAATTGGTCCTTTCTTTTGGTAATCTTTTCTGAGTTAAAAAGAATAGGTTTTAAAAAGACAATAGGTTTTTCCAGAGGAGGTATAAGATTTAGGTACTCATCAGTAATTAGTGATATGGGAAAGTAAGTAAATGTCTCCCAAGTTTAAAAAAAAACCAACAAAACAATAGGTGTATAGTGCTACATAACTATAGCACACACCTCATAATAATGCTTTTCCTTTGACCTTGGCTGCTAATTTTCTATGTAAATGAAACAAACCAATTTCAGGGATTTCAGCTTCTTGTTTTCATTGTAATAATTGCATTTTCTGGGTATATCTGCTAAATTTGAAAAATTTATTTTCCACCTGCTTTTTGTTTCTTTTCATTGTTTAGATTTTCCGAGCCAGCTGTCAGGAAGAAAGTAGTCTATATTATTTCACACTAATGTGAGAGGGTTAATTTTCTCTTTAACCTCTCAGAGGAATACACATTTTTAAAGGATTAATAAGCCAGTTCTCTTAATTGGTAGAATTTCATCTGAACAAAATGAGTTGTAATCAGTTTCAGAAGCTGTTTCTAGCTTGATCACTTGTTTCCAGGATCAGGTCTGTCAAGGAGTCCTGCTTATTTCTGAACTTCCATGTTCTCTAAACACCTGATAAATTACTGAATCTGTTAAATCATTGGATAAGGAACCCGAGGCTCAATTTTAATAATTTGCCTAAGGTCAACATTCTTTTCTGATAAAGGTCACTGGAGGTTGTTACTGAAAATATGAAAATAGTTTTAGGTTGCATTAACAAATATAGTCACACATATTCAAGACACTCTTGTATCCACAGGTTGCTCTGCTGTGCTCCATCACCTTCTCCTAAAGATGCATCCTGACTTATCTCCACACTTGCACACTGAAGAATGCAACGTCTTGATTAACTTACTTAAGGAATGTCACAAAAATGTAAGAGTTCAGAAAAATGGCCATAAAGTAAAAGTGAAACTTAGCTTTGACACACTGATGTAATTTAAATGTTATCTTCACTAATGGAAGGGAATGATAATGTCTTAGCTTAGTAAAGATTAGCAATTGATGCTTGTAATTTTTCAGAAGTCACTTCCTTTTATGATTAGTAAAAATCAAGGATGAAAGTTTGTTAGGGATCTTTTGAAATGATATGTGTTAGAATCCATATTCTTACAATGAAATACTTTTCCTAAGTACAGGGCACTAGAACAATTATGATCAGTTCTGACTCTTCTTCTGATTATAATGGAATTAGTCTTAAGGTTTTTCTGTTCCTTGATGTCTACCATTCTGTGTTTAAAGGAAATGGAAACATTTTTATAATTAGATATTAATTTAAATTATGATCGACCTAACTTGACAGGTTTACTTGTTAGTGGACTAGAAGTAAAATTCCATAGTTAAAACCAAAATAGAAAGAAGCCCATTTTTGGAATGCATTAAATTGAGCTTTTTTTACAGATGTCGACTATTTAGCTTTTTTTTTTCATATAGCTGATGCATGAGACTGTTATAAGGAGCATTTGTGGTATTCTTTAATTTTGCATGCTGCATTATTTTCTTATGATATTCATAAACTGTAGGTGTACCAAATTATAATAGTAGTAAGTATGAATTAAATGAGCAAAATTTTAAGAATAAAAGTAAGATAGTAAGTAAAACCTATGACATGTGAAGTCAGATATTTTGACTGGTTCAAAGAATGTTGTTGATAATGTACTTTAGGAAAACTGTATTCACCATCCATTTAAATCAGGAATCGATATTGTAAGTCCTCTTAGCTTTAGCTGTTCTATAGGTATGTGGTAGTATCTCATTTGGTTTTAAATTGTATTTCCCTGATGGCTGATCATTTTGAGTATCTTTTCATGTACTTATTGGGCCATTCATATAAAGCCTTTTGGCAGTATTTAAAAATTGAGTTGTCTTATTATTGAGTTGTCAGAATTACTTTTATCATTAAGCATACAAGTTCTTTTTGTCTGATAAGTGTATTGTGAATATTTTCTCCCAGTCTGTGGCATCCTTTTTCATTTTTTAAGGACGTGTTTCGAAGAGCAATTTGTAAATTTGATGAAGTCTTATTTACCAGTATTTTCTTTTGTTTGTGTTTTTTATGTTTTAAGGATCTTGTATATTTCCTGGTCACAAAGATTTTCTATTTTTTCTTCTGGAAGTTTTATAGTTTTACCATTTACATTTAGGTCTGTGATTTATTTCAAGTTATTTTTTGTGTATGGTGTGAGATATGAGTCAAGGTTTCTTTCTTTCCCAATGGATACCCAGTTATTCCAACATCATTTATTGAAGAGACTGTTCTTTCCCCACTAAATTACCTTGGTGCCTTTGTCAAAAATGAATTGACCATTTGTGAGTGGGTCTATTTCTGGGTTCTCTGGTCTGCTCCCTTGATAGATATGCTATTCCTGGGCTCTCTGGTCTGCTCCATGACCATATATATATGTATGTATGTATGTATATATGTATACACATACACACAAGGTGTCTCAAAAAATTTATACACACTTTAACAGCTGATTCTATTACATTTTGAAAATGAAATGTGTTTTAAGAAATACTGCCTTTATAATTATTCAAAGTGTGTATACATTTTTTTGGGACACGCTGTATATGTCTCTTCTTAACACCAGTTAATTCCAAAGTTTTCTTACTGGGGCCAACTGGTCCCCTGACAGATTTGTATTCTTCTTTGTCCTAATTCATGTTCCACACTGCATCTAGAGTGACCTCTCCAATGTAAGTTTAATCATTGATCCCCTGTAATGGCTTCCTTTGTCTATAGAATAAAACCTTTCATGAAACTGGCCTCTGCTTATCTTTTAGAGCCTTTCTTACTATCTTCACTTCCCATTTGCTATGCCCGTTTATCACCTTCCAGGTTTTATTCAGCTTAATTTGTCATTTCCTCTTCCTTTTCTTCTTTCCTGGCCTAGATTCTCTTGGGATAGTCGCTCTGTAACACCATACATAATACATTTCCTACTTTGTGGCAGTTGTTCTCACACTTTTTGGCCTCAGGACTCCTTTACACTCTTAAAAATTATTGAGGACCATAACTTTGTTTATGTGGACTGTATCTATCAATATTTACTGAATTTAGAAATTAAAACTGAGAAATTAAAAAATGATTTCTTTAAAAATCATTATATAATAAACTCATAATAAACTCATAAACATAATAAACTCATATGTTAACATAGTTATTTTTCATAAAAGCTCTTAGTTTCTAAAACAAACGAACAAGAGTGACATTACTTTTGCATTCTTACAATTCTCTTTAATGTCTGACTTAATAGAATACAGCTGGATTCTCATAACGGCCTCTACATTCAATCTGTGATGACATTACACTTCATGTAGCCTCTGGAAAATTCTACCGTACCCATGTTAGAGGATGAAAGTGAACAAAACAAATAAGATATTTGATTATTAGGAACATAGTTTTTACCTTATGCATCTCCTGGAAAGGTCTTGAGGACTCCTGGATATCCCTGGACTACACTTTGCTAACCATTGCTTTATAGCAATCACTTCATTATTTGTCTCCTCCCTTTGACTATTTGCTATGACAGTAGAACCTAGGCCCACCTTGCTCACTGTTGTATCCTAGCACCTGGGCCATTGTCTTCCACACATCGATTAATTGATTCACTTATTCAATCAATTGCTTAGCCAGTTTGGCTCTCTAGAAATAGACATCAGGCACTAGTGAGAGGTGCTATGTGTGTACAAGAGAATTGCAGTACATGGGCATGTCTTTTACCAATTCCATTGAGCATTTTGGGTTTTTCACGTAATGTCACAAGAGTATAATTCTTATTTGGTCTTAATGTTCAGGTGAAAGCAAAAATATAAATTGGTTGTTTTTCTTGGATTTTTAAAATAAGATGTATGTATATGGGATGATAGGAATAAATGTAAGCTAAACTATGAAATATTGCCTTGCATTCTAAAAGTTTAATCCTTTCTGTTATTTCTACTTGACAGAAGGTGTGTTTTGAAACTGCATTGTCCCTGCTTATTTGTTTTTAAGGAAGTAGTTTAGGAAAAATACACAGAAACTATTCATTCTGAAGAGGTCATTAGGTAACCAGTAGGAGCTGTCAGTCTATCTTAAATGATTGCCAGAAAAACTTTGGTGGTTTTCCAGTGTGGACCAGAAAAGTACATTTAAAGTTGTAATGAATTAGGGAAAAAAAGTCATAGCATGAGGCATAGCTTACTAATTATGTGTTGCCTTGTTTTCATGAAAGCCTTAATTAGAGAGAAAAGGAAAAGACGTGCTTATTATTACAACTACAAGTTCAGCATTTACGGTATCATTATAGGAGATTACCATTCTCTTCAATCCACCCTTAAAAATGGCGACATGCAAACACATTAGATATGGCCCTACTAAAATTGAGGTTATTGACTTAAGTCTTCATCATAATCTGCTTGGAGCGTACTTTTTGCCATGATAATAGTTATAGGACTTGAAACCACTAGGAGATTTTTATTTTTGCTTTTCAAACAAAGCAGACTGAACTTCAGACATAGATTTCCTTATATTGTGAATTAGTGGCTTATTTATGTAACCCATATAGGCCATCTAATAACAGTGTTACATGTTTATGATTTATTTTGATAACATTTTGAAAGGAGGTAAATGAGAAAATGGCTTTGGCACCAAGTGTTTATTTAGTAGCTCTTCTACGGGGCAGTGTTTGCTAGTGAAGAAAGTTCACGTTAATGTGGCCCCACTGCTCTTTGACATTTCTCCCTGTAATGGAGGGTGAACTGTGCTGCGACTTTAACATGCCCTTAAAGAGACATTAGGAAATAAAATTCACACTCTGCTCTATGAGGTTTGGCAGCTAAGTAGGCTTCCCATTTAGCAAGGAAAAGTATTTTTTTTATTTTATTTCTACCTATAGAGTGTTTATTCCTCTTTTTTAGGAATGCCAGGGTAAGCCTGTTTATTTGTATATATTATACTTGTGATTTAACTATTTGCTTATTAACAAGGTGACACATTAAACCCATGCTATAAGAATAAGTATTTAAATTCTATGTGCCAGAGACCTTAGCATATTATGGGATGAAGTATTTTACACTTTTTCTTCCTTTTAGCACAGCATTCTGAAATTTTTTGGTCATTGCAATGACCTTGATCGGGAGATGAGAAAATGCTTGAAGAATGAGGTAAGAAAAGTGTTGCGGGATGGAAATGGTTACCAATAGAACAGAACATTTTTAAACAATATTATATATTACTGCTATTATTATATTCCCCTCCCCCCTAAAATTTTAGTATAATAGAGAATAGTTGACTTTATATGTATATACCCCCCTAAAACCTAGGGGAGAAATGAAAGCCCCTTTGGGGACAATTTTAGAATATCACTGTTGTTAAGCATGCACATAAATGAAAACAACTTCCTTTTTATAATCACTGTAATTCCTCTGGATGAATTTTAAAGTTTGGGAAACTGACTTTATACAGTATATGATTGTCTACCCACTATGCTGTATACCTGAAACTAATACAAAATAATAGTGAATGTAAACTAACTGAAAAAAATATAGATGCAATGGGAAAAGAGGATTCTCTTCATAGGACTTAATCTATAATTGTCTTTGTTCAATTAAAAAAAAATTGGGAAATTGAATCTCTTTTCAGCAAAAAAGACCTGTCAATCAGCAGTTGGCTACAGCAGGTAACTAAAACTCTCTGGGCCTCAATTTCCTTATATAACATGGTGAGGCTGGACTTAGGCTCTTTACAGCTTTAAAATTTTGAATTTCTTTATAATTATGGTCTGTATAAACCATAGGGATCTAGTTTGACTATTTGCAAAGACTCATTTCCTGAACCCAATTTTAGGCTAAGATTTGGACTTGGGTAGATAGCCAAAATACTGAATTCATTGTCTTTTTACAGGTACTGCTAACAAAACAAGGTGCATTTTAAATTGTTGAAAAGAAATTTAATGTCATTTTTGTTTTGTACGTCAGATGTTTTACGTCTAGAACCTTTAAAAATCTATAACTACTAAAAATCTGCCTTCTAATTTTCTTTCATTTTCTGTGATTTTGAATGATTTACCCCCATTAGCTTTGTATTGAAAGGTATTAGATATAATATTTGAAGCTGTCCAGCATCTATCTTTCATTTTTATATTTTCTACTTTGGTCTCCCCCTTCCTTCCTGGAATCCCTTTCCAAAGTGTCTTTACTGTTTGAAGAACTTTCCAGAGTTCTGAGTTAAGGGTGATAATTTTCTTTGTGTGAACAAACATGTACGTGTTTAAGTGTTTTAAACTGATATTTGAGAAGAGTTTTTCCTTATATGCAAAGGCTCATTTAGATGGCAACTAAACATAGAGCTGTGTTCCTTTTTAATAAGATTATGGAAGGATGAAGCCCACACTGTTTTATTTGGTATAGCTGTTTGTTTCTTACATGCTTTCAGTTGTGTAACATAGCTTTTTTCCTAAGTTTAGATTTTTTTTCTCCTTACTGTTTAATGATTTTGCCATTGGTTTGGTGATTAGATCATAGGATATTTTCTTCTGAGGTAGTTCCGAGCTGTTAGTGACTATTTGATAGAATGTTGTACATACTCTTATTTTGTCTGAGTATATTTTCATATAAATTTCAGATTTTCTCCTCAATTTATTTTCTATGTCCTCTGTATGGTTTTTATGTTGCTTCATTACCTGATATATTGACATTTTTCTGTCCTTTCATCCTCCAGAGATTGTGAGTGGGTTATCTGTAATCAGATATTTGAAAGACTATAGCAGGCAATACGAAATAAAGGGCAGTAGGAGAATTTACTGGGAAACACGGGTTCAACATAAAAAACTCTGGAACAATAATTAAATAGATAGTGAGCTCCTTATAACTAGAAGTATTCAATCAGAAGTTGGGTGATTCAATAGGTTTTGAGCTCCTGGAGAAAAGGGACAAAACTCATTCATCTTAAATATTTCCTGAATTCATATTTTGAGAGGAAATTAATTCAGTACAGAAAAGACTTCAGCATCTGTTAGGATGTAAATACTGTACTGTATTGAATAAAATTGTACTAGACTCTAAGGTCACAGTTTCCAGTCTCAGATTCAGGGAAATAAAAGACGAGTTCTGTCAGCAAAAACATTTTTATTTTGCAATTATTTTAAAATATTTAACTTAATTGATGTAAATGGCACTATAATCTGCTCTTTTCTCCCCCTTCCTTTTATTTTCTAGTACATGGAAAAGAGGACCAGGAGCAGGGAGCATGGCAATCAGATGCGAAAGAGACTTTCTAATTCTTCAGGAGAATCTGAAGCATAAATTGTATTTTCACTGGATGTCTTGGCTGAGAGAACACCTGAAGACTCTTGGTTGATAAAACCAAAAGAATCCTATCTCATTCGGTCTCCAGAATCTTTTGAATAGCAAGTGACCCATGAGAAATCATGCCATGGAGAAATATGGAAACCCTGGATTCAGAATATATGTTGGGCAGAGCCTTAGTACTCTCATTCCTTTACCAACGCACCTGACTTTTAATATGTTTAATGTACAGTTAATATCCGAGTAACCTATCTCCCTTAATAAAATAATTGACTTGAATCCTATTTTCTCTGTTCTCTTAGACTTTCCTGGAATTAGGGCAAAATGGTCCCATTAGACTTTCCGTTTTGACAACGTGGCAATTCTGAAGTTTAAACATTGAAGATACAAGCTAAAGCAAAAAGAGTTTGAGAAAATTCCCAGCTGTGTTAACTATATGAAAATGTTTCAACTTTATTGCTTTTAAAGAACTGTTTTCTGAAAGGTTAAATGTTTAACATTGATGAAATTATTTCTAATTAGGATTTAAGTCTTGGCAGACTTTGGTTCTTGCTTGGTTGGATGTGCCCACCACCCTAGGTGCCAGTTAACTCCTGGGCATTAACCTTAGGCCAGCATGCCTTCTCTTGCTGGGTACAGGGCTCTTCTTCCCATACTCATTTTTAGCAGCATTCTCTCTGCCTGGTGTTTCTGAGCCTGTAAGAATCTGAAAGTCAGCAACTTCCAGCCACATGACAGCAGGGCTTGATCTTGTCAGATAAGTTGTCAACAGACTGTGAACTGTGAACTTCTCGTGATATCTTTGTATGTTCAGCATGAGACCTTGGTGGTGTCAGTGTTTAATGAGTGATTTCCCCATCACAAGAAGTGTTTAAGAGACTGGACATTCACTTAGCGAGGTGTTTACACAGGATAACAGACATTTGATGAAGGGTTGGAGGAAGAAGCAGAGTGCAGAATTAATTCTGAGGTCGCTTTCAAGACGGAGGTTTATGAATATTTATTCAGTCATGTGTTCTCCTGTGTCAGGCAGTACAGGTACAGAAATGAGACATTTTGTCTTTAGAAGCTTGTAGTAAACTGACAAATTGACTATTACAGTAATGTAGTAAGAGCCATGATTAGGTAGGTGTCATAGAAAACATAGAGCATCCATGCCTAGCCCTCAGGAAGAAGGAGCCATTCCAAGAAAGCTGCTTTGCACAGGTGACCTTTGACAGATGGAGTGAAAATGGAATACATCCAAGTCATTTAGCATGACTGGAATACGAGAACTGTTGGTTGAGGAACATCAGAAATGGCTTTTAAGTCTGTTGGAATTTTTTCTTCAATACTGTGGTGACCAGTTGCAAATTTTAATATGGTGATTTGG